TTTTTTTTTTTTTTTTTTTTTTTTTTTTTTTTTTTGATAGAAGTGTTTATCCTTTATTTTATCTGTACCTTTTTAAGAATCTATAGCTTTTTAAGTAGGCTTCATCCTATCTAATCTGAGAGCTGTGGATTATTTTCTCACTTGCATTAGACATCCATAGTTTAGGTTGTGAGCTGCCCGTCAGGACTGATTCACCTGAAATCTTCAATTATAGTGTGTGAAGGGAGGAAACAAAGTGCTGTAGCTTCACTGACATAAATTCAGGGAAGCATTTATACCCCAGGATGAGAAATGTCTTCCTGGTGTACCTGAAATGCGTTTATAAGAGGTTAACAGCCACCTTTTCATGTGGTGGGAGGAGAAGCTGACTGTGATTAGAAGTAATGAGGCTACGGAAAAATGTAACCTGAAGAGCACCAGTAAAAGCTTGATTTATCTTTATTTTAAAGAGTTTTGAAAGAAAATAAAGCATATTAAATATTAAGGAGCTGGTGACCTGGAAAACAGGTCACACATTTTACATATGTGTAAAATCTGTTCAATCTGTTTTATCTTATTCACAGAGGAGGACAATTTCAGCTAAGTGACTGAGCATATGAAAGTAATTGCTTTTTAAAGTCTGTCGGTCTCTTCTCCCAAGGGACAAGCATTAGGACAAGAGGAAATGGCCTCAAGTTGCAGCAGTGGAGGTTCAGGTTGGATATTAGGGAAAATTTCTTCATCAGAAGTGTTGCTGAACACTGGAACTGCCCAGGGCAGTGGTGAAGTCACCATCACTGGAGGGATTTGAGAGCTGTGTCAGTGTGACACTTGGGGACATGAGGCAGTTGTGGCTTTGGTAGTGCTTAATTAATGCTTGGCCTTGATGATCTTGGAGAGCTTTTCCAATCTCAATAATTCCATGATTCTGAGATTCTGGAACCATTTTGGTTACAGTCTTCTCTTACAATCCTTAAAAAGAAAGGGGAGGAAATTTAGGAAATGTTTATTTAATAGGAATAATACAGAATTTCGGATGTTTTCTATACAGTTAACAAAACCCATGTGGATGATGAAAAATCTTTTATCTTTTGGGAGGAATGTCTCTTTTCACCCTGTGTATGAGATGAGTAGGGCCTGGTGGGTGCTGTATTTTCAGTGCTTTGGTGTGAGGCTTTGTGGTTTGCTTTTGCTGTTTGCTTTCGTGGTCCCTGCCCAGTGGTACCCACCAGCCTCCTCTCCTGCATCCTGAGCCCCCAGCAGCCCCTCCTCTCATGGAATGCAGGAATTGCTCAGGGAAACTGCCATTAAAAGTCTCACCTGTTTGCTATTAAGTTCTGTTACATATAAATACCTTTGTTATCTTGAGCCTGCTTGAGTTTGGAACAAAGTCCCCTTGGCTTCAGTGGGAATAAATTGAAATCTAGGAGAGCTTTTCCATTTTTCCCCCCTATTCTGCTGTGTGTCATCTTGTATATCCATATTTCCTTCTCAGGCTATTCCCAAAGATCCTGGTTTTTATGAGGAGGGCTGCTTTTGGCCAAGGAGCTTGCAAAGGTTGCTGTTGATTTCTGCTCTGTGGTTAGGGCTGGCACGCATTAATGTACAGCAGACAAATGCAGTATAGACGTGATCATAAATAATTCACCCTTCCCTCCAACAAGGGGAAATTACATGCTACATTATTCAATATACAAAGACACTGCTTGTTGTGTAAAGAGAGTAATTTTCTGCCAGTGAACAGCCAGCAGCTTTGCAGCTAAAATATAAGAAGACACACATGGTTTATTGCCAGCTCAAGCCTCATAACCTTCCCTCTGCCTGCAATCCACATCCTTCTGCTCTCAGGAGTGGAATACAAAGAGGTGACGTGTGCTGGTGGCTGTGGTTATTGCTGCTGGGAATGTTGGATGGAAGGAACAAAAGCAGGGCACTGTGGATGTCTTGATTTCATAGGGTGAAGGAGGGAAATGAGGGCTGGGGGAAGATGCTGCTCTTCTGGTGAGCATCCTTCATGCCATGCTAAATTCTTAGGGAATGAACTGTCAAAAACTGCTTGGGAAAGAGAAAGGAGTGGCACTAAGAAATCAGATCCTTTTATGTGTTTGTTACAATTCAGTTTTTTTTTATTTCATGAACGTGCCACTGGAAAATTGTGTAAAATGGTGTGTTGGCAACTAGCAGTTATTAAAAAAAAGAGATCAATGTCTCTATTCTATTAGCTGAGTGATCTGTCATTGTCCTGTGATAGGTCATCAAACTGATCAGCTAATTAAGGAGCTTGATGCAGTGCTTGTGCATGAGCTGGCAGAGTTATGGTTGCTGGTGGAACTTTAAATTTCCCCTCATGACTGGTGTGATTAATATCTCAGTTTTACTGTAGCCTAAACATGTTTCTATTTTTTTCTCCCTTGTATCAGCTTCCTGATAAACCATTTTCTTCACCTGCCAAAGATGTAGTTAACATGGTTTTTCCTTGGCTTTGTAATATTTGTACCAGATTTTTGTGAGAAGTGTCTGCAGCTGTGAAGGGTTCAATAAATTCCAGTCCAATTTTTTAACACGCAAATGGACATAGGACAGAGAAGGTTATGTGGTTTTTCTAAGGCCCTGTGGTCTGCATTAATTAATGTATTTCTGATTGCTCTTTTTAAAAATTTGAGAATTGATGTCAAATACACATGCCTGGAATTGATCCCATAAGGCCATCTCAGATAAATCTGTTCAGTCAGTGTCACTGAGCAGGTTGCAGATCCCTGTTAGAAGAGGACTGGAAGATAAATTGGAATATTTCTTTATTTTAAATAGCCAGTGCATAGAAATTGGTCTATGAAAATAAACAGCAAGGAGCTGGAGAGCAGAGGTCTGAGAGGGTACTGAGGTGGATGTCAAAGAAGAGGAGTTCAGGGCAGAAGGGTTACATAAAAATCAATGTGTAGAACATGATAAATGTAATTGAAAAGATGCTGTAGGTTGGGGTTTTTAGATATTTTCTTGCTTTAACCTGTAGCCTCTTCATGCTTCTTTTTTCAGAGGGGCTTTTTTCACCTTCCTCTTTTATCTTTTGTGACAAAGGCCCTCATCTCCATCCTCTCCTTTTTGCAGTTGTTTTTTTTTTTGTTTTTTCTTAGCTGTTTCTGTTTTCATGACTTCCTCCATTGGATGTAGATGCTGCCTGAATCTGCCCTGACACTGCCTCTGTCTCTGGCCCCCTTTGCTTCCTCTTTGAAAATGTTTGATCAGGGTCTTATTTCTGCCTGAAATATTTATTTGGGAAGTGGAAACTTCTCACTTCTTGTCAAAACTTCCCTTTCTTGTCCTTCTCACCACCATTGGTGGTGTTTGGACAACCATCAAGGTCTTGCCAACCTTGGCTCCTTTCCGTAGTTCCTCTTTTTCTTTTGGATGTTTACTGGGGGGATATTTTACACATAAGAAATTATAAACTTTCTAGGTTTAAAATGACCCATATGAATCTGATTTAATATCTCTAGTTGTTCAAACTCCTGTCAAAGTCATCACAGCTTTGCTCCTTTGGAGAAGTTTTCAAGACTGGTCTCTGAGAAGTCTTGCACTGATTCTTTCTCTTTGGTTTAAATATAGTCAGTAATGATTATGCTGTGATTTCTGTCTGCCTCATCTGGCTCAGAGAATAAACTCATTAAAGAAATGAACTTTTTTGGTGTGGAAGGAAATTATTTTGCAAATACTTTTGTTCAATATTTATCTAATTATTTTTGAGTCTTTGAGACACAGTCTGCTTGCTCTGATTGCAGAAATCCTCCAATATGTGACAGTGTTCAGTGGGAGAAACATCAGAATACAAATAATTTCTACAAAAGCACTTTGTCTCATACAAAAATGCAGCCAGCAGGATGATGATAAATGTGGGATCTGAACTGACTGTCCCATTTGATCAGGACACTTTTGTAGGAATGAACCAGGAGTTATTATCTAGAATTATAGCAGTGCTGCTGCATTAAAAATAGGTGTTGATAGAGCTAAAGGCAAAACAGTCAAATTGTGGGACTCATAATAGTAATGATTATACTTCTCTGATTTGGTGAATAATAAGAGGACCCATCATTTTGTCCAGAAACCTGAGATTCTGTCATTAGCCTTTTCCTTGTGTCTGTTTTTTAATCCCTTCACTTTGCTGAATGTTTTACTGATGGCTTTTGATTTTTTTTTTTTTTNTTTTTTTTTTTTTTTTTTTTTTTTTTTTTTTTTTTTTTTGTTTAGCTTTTTATCTCCCATGTTTGAAAGGAGACTGCTACTTTATCCCTGCCTCAAAGAGGGTCCTACCCCACTTCAGGACTGTTCATTTATGGTCCTCAGGAGCAGATAAGAGTATAATTATTTAAACCTGTGTCACTGGATACTGTCCAGAAATGCTCCCATATTTCAAGAGCAGATTAAGATCTGCTGGGTGGGTTAGTGAGTCGTGTAGAGTTACCTGTAGTAGCAACCAGTCACTGATGTGAGCAGATGGGTGATGGAAAATCAGGGGCAGCTCACTATGAACCTGGAGCCAAATGTTCCCTGGGTTTAATATCTGAGTGCTGTAATTAACAGACTTGGCAAACGACAGGCATCTTTCAAATAGGCATCTGAAATGACTGGTGGTAGGTTGTGCTTTGCTGTGGCTGTGGCTGATGTGGATTTGATGCCTGGCTGTGTATAAATATCTGGGTTTGTTTCTCTAGGTTGGACAATGCATCTCTTTGGAACCACCTCTGGGAAGATGAAGCTTCCAACAGCAGCAGTGCAATTTGGAACCTCCTTGTTTTAAGGGAACCTGGAAACTTCTACCCATATTTGCCTATTCCAGCATAAAGCAGAGGAAAATGAGTTATTTTTATTTTTTGCATATTTTCACACTACGTAACAATTTTTTTTCCTTCTCATTTTGTTCAATGGGAAAAACTTGAGCCAGTTTTATAGCTGATCCTTACTTCGCCACATTCCTCTTACTGAGCCAAATTCTTGGGAACCACATACAGAGTACATTTATTTTTGTGTCTTGGTGGTGGTTGGGGCTTCTTTTTCTTTCTGTGACACATGTCACTTTTTATTCTGTTTTGAAGCTGTCCTTTTGCATTGCTGAGTAGTTGTAGAACCACTCCAGGAACGAAATAATTTCAGACTTGCAGAAGATGACTCATGTGCTTCAGAAACTTTTTAATGGCTGTGCTTGGCTCATTAATGTAGGAGTGTAACGGTAGTAATATGAGGTATTGCATTAATTGCTGCATACATTTATTACCAAATGACTTGCACAGACAGTGTTTCAGATGCCGTGGACCTGATCACAATAACCAGAAGTGTCCTGTGTGCAGAGGAGAAAATAAAATCCCTTTGTACACCGACAGCAAGCAGATGAAGTGGCTCGCGGTGCTGGAAGTGAGGACTGACCACTGTGAGAGCTGGAATGGGTTTTTCTGCCTGAGGAAGGGGAAGCTCTGCAGTTTGATGTTTGGGTTGATCATAATGACTCTGGTGATGGTATCCTACATACTGACTGGAGCCAAGCACGGCCTGCTGCTGATCCCATCTCCCTTCCATTACGGAGCTTTTGCTAGCAATCCCAGCTTAATGGACAATGAAAGCCTTAGTGACATGAAAGACTATTACCAGCCTTCAAAAATGAATATTTCATATGTAAAGGATTATCCAAGCATTAAATTAATTATTGACACCATTACTTCAAAGATAGAGTTTATAACGAGGCAGCGCCCTGATTTAGAAGAGCTGAGGAAGCAAGAGCCACATGTAAGTATGAATTGAGGTGTGTCTTAAACTGCTTTTTACATCCTTATTTCAAGGGTTTTGGATCAATCTTTTGCCTAGATATAAAAAAGTGCAACTCTTTGGATGCTCATGCAGTGATTTACACCATCTAGAGTCTCCTGATTCACAGCAGCTGAGAAGTTGATATTGTAGATCACATCCCTCTGAGTCACGGGCAGGATGGATGGGTTCTATAAATGGTCTTGACACCTGAAGCAAAAAATCAGACAGTCTTCTGGTAGCTGTACAATGTCACTGAACTTTTACCTTCTCTCATGCAAAAATCATTGTGACTTACATTTACCTGTCACCTGAAATGATAAATAAGAAAAGAGCCTTTCTAATAACTGCTTGCTAGGGTGTCCTCTTGAAAATCATTGCAAACCTTGTATTTCAGAGTTAAAAACTGGAAGGTAATTTGATTTGAGGATTAGATGTCTGACTTTAAAAATCAGTTCCTGGGATTGCAGAGGATTTGAGGTGATTATTGAGGCCTTAAAATAAAAGGATTTCTAAATACTTGTCTCCCAGCCCAGTGGGTTGCACAGGGTTTGGTTATGGTGCCATAAGAAGGAATAAATGGGGTCAGCTTTGTAGGTAGAAGTATCCAGGTAATGTTTCTGTTCTCTCACTGAGCTAAGTAAGAAAAGTGCTAAGTAAGAGAAGTCGATTGCTTGCTGCCTTGACTGAAATTGTTGTTCTTTATGTTGCAGATGTTTTCGGTAATTCCTAACAAATTCCTTCCAAACAGCAAGAACCCTTGTTGGTACGAAGAGTACCGCGGGAACACAACCACGGATCCCTACGCCACCAACTCCTACGCACTCTACTCCAAGCGCTTTCGGATCATTTTTGATTACCTCAGGAAGGTATTTTGGAACCACTTGTACCACTACAAGGACAAGCACTACCGCCTGCGCTGCCTGCCACACTTCTACATCATCGGGCAGCCCAAGTGTGGCACCACGGACCTGTACGACCGCCTCCGACTGCACCCCGACGTTCGCTTCTCGGCCATCAAGGAGCCCCACTGGTGGACCAGGAAACGCTTTGGTGAGTCAAAATGTCCTTTGCTAGGCAAGCTGTGCCCCCTTAAAATGTTGTAAGTAATTGGGATGAAGTTTGTACATTTGTTCTGTATTGGCTTGCCTAAAAACTGTCACACGATAACACGAAATAACTTACGCATTCACACTAAGATCAAAAGAGCAAAAGGAAGTAACTTTTATTTCTGACTTTGCAGTATATATAATTCCAAAAGTGACAGTGGATTGGAGGATGAAATTGCCACCTCTCCAACCACACTGGTTAAACCAACAATCTATTAATTCTCTCTTCTCACAAAGAAGAATGCAAAACAATCATTATTTGCATAAACAGTGTTTGAGAGCTCCAGTAGAAATATGTAAACATCAGAAGACATAGCAAACTTTTAAAAGAACTTTAAAACTTGTAAAAGAACAGGGCGAAAAGAAACCACTGAAGTTGGTGGTTTTGAGAAATCCAGGTGGTGGATGCTCAACCTGCTGGTGTTCAATGGTGTTTTGGGTAAAGCCTCTTGAGAAAATGCACTTTTCATTTGGTTTATTTGCAGCGGTTTGGAAAATCAAAGGGAAAACAAAAACAGTGCATAAGACTGACCTTATGAATTTATAAAGGCAAGAAGAGAAACTGTTAGGCTGTCATGAGGGAGTTGAAGAGCAGCAGTGATACTTTTGTACTGCAAAATTCTGTAAAGGCTTTCTTACATCAATAAATGATGGGTCGCCATTTAAAATTTCAGTCCTTATGGTTCAATAAATACAATTGTGGCAGGAGCTTTGTTAGTGCCACAGCTCTGGGCAACACTGATCAGTAGAGCTGCTCTGCATGAGGAATCTCTCTCTCACTTAGGACCCTGCACATATTTTTGATCCTTTTTCTGGATGATATCATTATTTCCATCTGTGAAGGCAGACTTGACTAGCTGGGGTTGTGGCCAACTGGACCAAAAGGCATCCACCCCTCATGATTGCACCTCCAAAGGGTGTCTTGAGGCAGTGGGGCTGAGCACAGAATTTCATCCATCTGAAGTGTTTTTCTCCTTCTTATCTCTCTCTGGATGCTGAGCAAGGTCTGTCTTGTGGTTAGAGATGAGCTGCAGAAGACTCATCTGAATTTCCTAACTGCTCCCCTTTACATGTGCATGAGTGTTGTGCCTTTTGTATTCCACCCAGACACTGGATTTTCCTCTTCTTGGGCATAGCTAAGTGCTGGCATGCCCTCACTTTGTATGACTTTGGTATCAAAGATCAAGGAAATTTCAGTGATTTTACTGTTTCCAACAGGAAGATTCTGTTTATTTTAGTGACTTCTTAATTTCTGTTTCTCATTTGTTCTTGCTTTATGGCAACAGACACAGACTTTGGAACAGAAAAAAACTGGCGCTGGAGTGTAGATGAAGACTTTGATCACTACTTTCTTTTGGTGCTTTTCTAAGCTTCCTTGGAATGGGAAAATACTGAATTTCTGTGGCTAAAGGCAAGAAAGAACACTTTCTCAGGCACTGGGACACTGGCAGTGCTACTTCAAATTCTTCATTTCTCCTCCATGTGGTCTTGTCATTTCCATCTTGTTTCCCTGTGCCCTGGATCCCAGAAGAACCTTTGAGCTCCTGCAGACAGGATTTTGTTCCTTGCTTGGTGAGGAGCTCTCAGCCACAGAGATGGGAATTCATTATTTTGCTGTTAAATTTTCAGTTTTCTTCCTTCGCAAATGCCATAAGAAAGTTGCCAAAGTAAATACTTTGGACATTTTATAAATACTTTTTTTGTAAAATAAGATGTAGAGCCATGTGATAAAAATACAGCTTTGCTTTTGAGATAATTTAATCCTGTTTGAGAAACACTGGAGGCACCAGTGGGAATTGAGGAGTGAAACCAAGTCAAGCAAAGAGAAGCATCATGGTCCTCCTTGAAGACCCATGAGAAGGGACTTGTTCATCACTTGTTCAGCAGCTGACTGAAGACAAAACATGGGAATTATGGAATAGTTTGGGTCAGAAGGGACCTTTAAGCCCATTCAGTTCCACCCCTGCCATGGGCAAAGACACTTTCCACTATCCCAGGTTGCTCCAAGCCCCATCCAACCTGGCCTTGGACACTCCCAGGGGCCCAGGGACAGCCACAACTTTTTCTCATGTTCAGATAAAGTGATGGAAAGAAGGAACTGTCAGCAAAATCTGTGGAGGATTTTGTGTTCCATGGTAGTGCTGGCAGGAAAGGCCGAACCTCATTGATACCTTAAGCTAAAATGTTTTACAACTCCATTTACATCAACCTCAACATAAATGTTTGGAATGAATTTTGGAGGAGGTAATGCACCCAGCCTCACTTCAGCAAGACCGGACTCACTAAAGCTCTGAACCTGACCTACCAAACAGGCAGAAGAATGTAAAAAATCAGGCTGGAGTGCATCTGACTTGAGAACAAGGGTGAATTCCTTTCACTGTGCTGGCATTCACAAGCCCTCCACTTGCAGAGTCTTGTGGTCAGCCACTGGGGACCGAGTGCTGATCCTTGAAGAGAACATTCTTTGCATAATTCAGTTTTTTTGAAGTTGTTTTGTAAAGCTGGAGAATGAGGAAACATTGCAGAGCTCATGGTCTCATGGGAGAGGGATCTGTAGGGATGACCTGATCATTTCAGCTGTCTGCCACTGAGAATGAAAGATCAAGTTTATTCCTGGTGGCTCAGTCCTTTAATTCTGCCTTTAAAGTACATTACCTAATGGTTACTATTTAAAAATTAAGGAAAGAAAAACAGAGAATATGACAAACACACTCACAAGTGAAATTGAGACAGCCAGCAAGTGGCTATAACTCCTATGCTCCTGGCTATTAACTTGGTTTGGTTTCTAACACTTAAGCTGGACAAGAAAGTCTCTTTGTTCAATGGCATCCTCTGATTCAGTGGATTTTTATGAGACTGACTAATTTCAGCTGAAGTTAAACAGCCCTCTGGGGAGGCCCCATTTCGCAAATCACTCCTTTCCCCTTCTGCTGGGATGGTTGATGCTCCACAGGACTTTGTCTCAGCTTGACTGTCTCTCTCTCCTGGCTCCTTGCCACTGTTTCTGTTCCCAGGAGTGGGGTGGCAACAAACCAAGGCTGTCTGTAGCACCACGCTTGAGCTTTTCCCCCCCTCAAAACAAGTCAAAATATGCTGTTGAACTTTCTTCTACCCTCATTAAATCCCACTTTGCTAAAGGGGAAAATCAGAGGCAATGGACAAAAGAAATCCCTTGCTGAGCTTTCCTCTCACATAATTGATAATTATTGGCCTTGTGGGAACAAGAAAGGGAGAGCTGAGAAGTCCTGTGTGGGGAGCATGTACAGCAAATGGAGAAGTGGGACTAGATTTGGAAACAGGAGTGGGAAAAGGAGTATAAAAATCACAGGATGCTGCTCAAGATGCTGAAAAACACAGGAGGAAGGTGATACTGAACTCACCCTGGAGTGCACGGAAGGAGAGGAAAAAAAGAAGATACTACTGTGGAGCTTTATTTGCATACCTGTGAAAGGAAAAAACCCATGAATGATTTCCCAGTGTGTGTTGATTTGCATATTTGGCATCAGAGCCTGTGCTCAATCTCAAAACAGTAAATCTAGTGGGAGTCCAATATTACTGCAATTTACATGGGTGCAAGTGGAAGTAGAATCTTATCTTCTATATTCCTTCCAGAAGCTAAATTTGGAAGAAGATAAATCCAAGCTCATTCATGCAGGGACTACAAAACAGAGCACTTAAAATATGTGAAATTTATGGTGTAATCATTCAGTATCTCAGATCTCAGCCACTTCATTATTGGCACTTTTGTCTGAGGGTTGCACGTGGTCGTTCTGATCTCGTGCTGATGTTGGCTGGCTGGGGGCCAACCACCTTGGTTTGCACCAGGGGTTAGTCTTGCCCTGCTGTTGTTATAAATGATGATTTTAATTCTCTCTTTTTGGCTGTTCTTCCAGGAATCATCCGGCTGAGGGATGGATTTCACGACCGCTACCCGGTGGAAGATTACCTGGATCTGTTCGACCTGGCAGCACATCAGATCCAGAGCGTGCTGCAGAGTGATGCAGTGAAGGAGCATGGCAAGAGGAACAACATCATCATAGGTGAGCAAAAACAGCCCCAAAATTCTCTGTGTCTCCACGTTGGCAGTGCTCAGAGCTGAGGCACCAGAGGGGGATTTTGTGGCTGGTTCTCAGCACAGAGCCCCTGATGTTGCTCTTCTCTGGTGTGCCTGGAAGCTCTTAGCTTTCTTTTCCTTCTTTCTTTGTTAGGAAGCTGTGATTATCTTCAGAAAATTCCCGAGCAAATGCTGTATATCTGATGAGCATCAGCATTTAATTAATGTGGGGTTTTTTTTTTCCAAGAATGAGAATGACCTTGGTGACTTGTTCAAACACAATTTTCATTTTGTTTTCACAGAATCATTTAGGTTGGAAAAACCCTCTTAAGATCATCACACCCATCCGTTCCCCCAGCACTTCCAAGGTCACCACTAACTCATGTCCTCAAGTGCCACCACTAACTCATGTCCCCAAGTGCCACATCCACTTTCAGCACAATTATAAGGAGATTGCCTGTAGTGCTGGGGTTGTGGCTTCACTTCCAAATGCTGGAGCAATATCTGGGATAAATCAGTAATTGTGGTGGTATGGCACACACTGGGTGCTGCAGAAATCCTGGAGCTGGTGGGAGATGTGGGAGCAAAAGCTCCCAGTGGCTCTTAAGCTCCAACAGAAGAAATTGATATAATTAGTTGGTATTAAATTGCCTAATTTCCACTAAGAATGGTCTAGAAGTGCTGTTTTATTGTACTTTAAGGAAGTCCATGGTGAGCACAGGGCTCTAGGGAGGGATCCCTGGATTGCTTTCCATGGCACACAGTGGTCAATCCACTGGGCTCATCCACTCTGGCCCATGGTGTACTGATTTACAGTGCCCATGAGGAATATCACAAACTTCTAAATTCTGCTTTTGCTGTCTGATAAAACCAGAAAACTGAGGGGATGGGAGTTTTACCAGTCTTATTTCACAGGGAAACCAGACACATTCCATGCAAAAAGTAGTTGTGCAAGTGACAGTTCCCTGTCAAAAGGAGACTTTTCAAGTAGGCTTGAAGTCACAATTTTACAGAAAATAGAGACAAGATTTTACTGCCTGTCCTCAGAATTATTGGAGGTTTGGTCACATAATAACCTAAAATTTTAACCTATTGCTGGTTGGGTGAGATAGTGATGATGCCTTGGGTTGGTTAAACCAGAGCCTTGTCTGAGAAACATTTGTTCAATACTTCCCCAGCCTCCATTTAAATCCATCATTCACTTTATTGAACATTGCAACAGTGAGCAGCGTTTGTAAGATGGGGTTCTTAAGAAATGTTGCCATCAAGGACATCTGCAGATTTTCCTGCTACTTATAATAATATCTCCTGTCCTTTGATGGGTGAAGTGCTCATACTAATTAAATTCACTAATCTAATTGGCAATGTACATCTTTGATTACCCACCTCCTGTTGCAGCTTTTTGTAGGGTTCACTTTGTGTTTCTTTCCTGTGGTCTCATTTCTTGTTTCATTAAGGTTCTGCTGGGTTTTCTTATTAAGTTTACAGGAAAAGTCTTGAATGATTATACTCATTAAAGCAGTCTTTTATGACCTCGGTAAAAAACAAAACAAAGCCATCTAGCCTAAAATGAATCTGTATGAATATCAGTTTTTTTCATAATCCTCGTTTTCTTATTTCAGATGACTGTAAAGAAAAATCAAATTAAAACTGTAAATATTTCAGTAGTTCATCATGTTATATTATTTTGAAAAGATAGGCCTCTTTGGATATTAAACCTACTAGGTAATAACTGCATTTTCCAAAAAAAACCACCACAATATCTGTTTAGAGATGAACCCCAGAGTACAGAGCTGTCCAGCCTGAGGCATTCTGAACAGGATTTGTTTATGTGGAATCATTAATAAGATAAATTCAGAGGAATGACTTGTGAAAACACAATATGATGTTAATCCATTCATGACTGAATGAAGAGGTTATGCACCATTCTTTAGGTAATTTAATAATTCATACGACCTTTAAGTCCATAAGAAAAAAAATAATTCAGTTACACCAGTATAATTAAACATAATTAATTGTTGGTTATTAATTTATCTCATATTTAGTATGGCTTGTTCTCTTTGTAGGTATTAAACCTGCATTATAAATGAAAACCAAAACTGTCAAATTGTCAGAAAAAAAATTGTTTCCCTGTTTCCTGTTTCAGGAAATTGAAATTATAAAAGTCGGCAGGGACCAGAATGATTACTATATTTTTAATATAGTTTTTCCCCATAATTAAATTTGTGACAATCATCTTGTGGGAAGATTTATCCTCTTGACCCGCGGTTTTGCTGGGCTGGAGGAGCACCTTGAGCCCTGTTAATGCTTTAGCATGATTTGGTTTTGTGCCTGTGATCTTGGGTTGGACTTGACAGTCTTGGAGGTCTTCTCCAGCCTTTATGATGATGAGATTTTCCCTGACTTGTGTCCTGCCTGCAGCTTTTGGGTGATGGAATTCACAGTTTCTATGGAATGTGGGCTCTGATGTTAGGAGACTCTGCCCATTTAAACGAACTGGGTGGTTTTGGTTTTTTGTTTTGTTTTGGTTTTTTGTGTAGTTCACATTGCAGCAGTGTAGGGAGGTGTTTGCAGGTTTGGCCACACTAACTGGGATAAATCCAGCAGAACATCCACAGTGATCAGGGAACAGAGCAGAGAGCTGTGAAGGATGATCAGATCTAGTCCAAAGAGGAGTAGGTGGCTCGATGAGGTCACAGACTTTAATTACCTTGCCGTAATTCCATAATTGAGGCAAACATTTCTGAGGGAGCTGTTCCAGGCTGTCAAGGGGATGGAGCAGGGACTTCCCAAGGTCATCTCCACCACTGGAGTGCCCTCTCCAGCAAATCCCTGCCTGCAGGGGCTCCTTCCCTTTGCGTTCCCCCACGTCCTGGTGGCTCAGGAGAGGTTTCTGTGGCAGGGCTGTCTCAGCTCCTGGCCTCTGTTTAATCCTTTGTGTTTCTGCCTCACCCAGCGTGGGAGCTGGGCTAATTGAGTTTTAATTGACAAGTGGAAGCCTGCTGGTGATTAGGCAGTGCTTTGGCTAATTAATTTAGAATGGAAGAGTGGAGCTGTTGTGGACACCCAGCTATAGCCAACGGACCTGATCTCCTCCTCCTGAAAAGAGGCAAAATGAACGTGACAGAAGATTAATGTGTTTTCTAACAACTCCCAGACTTTATTAATGAATCCCATTATGCTCAGCTGAAGTTTGGAGCCAGTGCCTTTCTCATGTTGTGTTTTGTCCATCTTTTTTAAATCTTTATTGGGCTTTCCCAGCAGAGGAAGGGAGAAGAAAATAGGGAAATAATGTACAAGTCCATAAGCCTACAACATTATTATTTTTTTAATCTCCTTCCCTTTGATTTGAAAAACCTCATTAGCAAGAATTAGCTTTCATTAGACTGTCAGAGAGTGGAAGTCCCCAAAAAGCTTCGGTGCATGTTTTGTTGAACAGTACTATGCCACATAAATGCCAGGACTGCTTAAAAAGACAGAAAAGGTTACAAAATTCAAAACAACATACCAGATAATTTATTTAGCAGCTGAACCATCACATACCTCATTCTGGCAGAGACTTTTACTGAATATATTTCTCCCTGTAGCATTGCATTCTGAGTGAGCTTCTTCAGACACTAAAGATACCAGAATCTGGTATTTTACCAAAGTGTGCTATTTATTCTATAAACCTTATCTAGTCATAAATAGTTGACTTCTTCTACATGAATAATTATACCAAAAAAAAATTTCAAACATTAATGACGAATCTCAATTGCTTTTAAAATATTTCTTATATGCCCACTGATCCTCCTGATGATATTTACCACCCTGTTGATCAGCAGATTTCCACATTTTTCTGTGGGATATTCTGCAATTTGTTAGCAAGATGCTTCTCTGAGATTGGGAGCATTTAGGCCAACCTGTGGATGCTACAAAATGCATTGCAAAGCTTCAGCAGGGACAAACTCCTGCCTCCTCAAGGCCAGGTTGAATGGAGTTTGGAGTCACCTGGCTTAGTGGAAGGGATGGGAACAAGATGATCTTTAAGGTCCCTTCCAGCCCAGATCATTCTGTGATTCTGTTGATTCCTCACTGGAAAATGTGCTAAAACCCTGAGCAGTCCATTCCAGCCCAAATTAAATGTATTTGCATGTGTTAGCCACCAGTAGGAAGCAGTGTGGTGATGGAGAGCAACATTTCAGGTGGAATTGCATAAAACCTGCCTTAAGCATCCCTGCATTGCCAAAGGCACAGGGCAGTGGGATTGCTGCAGCTCTGGGAGCTTTAGCCAGAACTGAGGTGTGTTGAAATCCATGGAGTCAATTTTGATCTGCCTTATAGTGCTTAAAAATTCAGCCAATTTCCACTCCAACATGAGGAATGGAATGAGTTACCAGCAGAGGTGCTTTTCATTTCCAGGGGAGGCCAGTGCCTCGACAATGTGGGACAACAACGCTTGGATTTTCTTCTATGACAACAGCACTGAAGGAGAACCTCCCTTCCTAATCCAGGATTTTATCCATGCCTTCCAACCAAATGCCAAACTTATCATCATGCTGAGGGACCCTGTTGAAAGGTGAGTGAGAATATTTTCTTGTTATAATAATATGTTTAGCTCTCACTCTGTTGGATGCAAGTAAATATTCACGTGGTGCTTGTGAGCCACTTGGTTGTGATAAGAGGGGTTTTATTCTGTGTATTTTGGCACAGGTAACAGTGATAATGTTTTAAAGAGAAGCATGTGAGTCTGAATGCCATGACTGCCATACCTGGACTCCTGAACTACTCTGAAAAAAAGGATTTATAGGTTTCCAAATGCAATCTAATGCAATTACCTGAGCTAATATGCCCTGGTTTTCAGTAGGACTCTATATACTATGAGAGCACTGCATCTCTAGATCTCAGCAGAAGTAGTCCTGGGAAATGTTTAATTTCATTTAAATAGTGAAATCTATGTTTTTATGGGGTTTGCAGTTCAAACTGATTAAATAATAATGATTAGGAATGATTAAATAGCTCTAGAGTCAGCAAATGATACAAGTTCTTAAAACTCTTCAAAGTGTTTAGTCAGACAGTTGTGTAAAGTTTCACTGGACATTTGTAGCTGGCACAGCCAGCAGCTACATGAGTTCATCTTTGGTCTTCCTTTGATTGCAGGGAAAGGGCTTGGCTTTTCCCTGGAATAGGTATGGACAGTTTTAAATGGCTGTAGAGAGTCAGGAATGTCCAGCTTTTCACTTACAGTTCACTTTTTCTCTCCAGTCTTCCTCCAGATTTCTGGGACATTCCTTCCCACTGTGTCCTCTGAAGCAGGATAATAATGATGGGGGTGATGGGGATGATGGAGGGGATGGAGGCAGAGGCCACAAGGATCAGACTGAGGGGGTGTGAACTCCTCACTGCAGCTCCATAAGGATCATCAGAACACTTGTGGCAGGGCCAGTGCTCAAGGGCAAAGCACCAGGAAAACTCAGAGAAGGAAGGAAGGAAGGGGATGCAGGTGATGGTGGGGATGAAGATGATGGTGGGGATGCAGATGATGGTGGGGATGAAGATGATGGTGGGGATGCAGATGATGGTGGGGATGCAGGTGATGGAGGGGATGAAGATGATGGTGAGGACCAGGCTCTGGTGTCTCTGGGAGAAAAGCAGACCTGTGCTGCTTGTGCAGGCAGCCCGTGCCCTCTGCCCAGCAGCTTCCAGGGCTGGGGTGGTGCTCCCCAAAGAGGTTCCCTGCTGGCAGGACATGGCTGTGGGGAGAGCAGGACTGGGAGATGTTTCCCAGCTCCTGTGTCAGCAAATGCAGCTCTCAGCATCAGTGTTGTCTCCTGACCCCAGGAGTTAACAGATGGTAATTTTATGCAAGAGAGTGGCTGGAGTGGCTTCCTCATGTAAATTAGTGACAAAATCCCTGATTGCTTTAACCACCCTCTGTAATGGAGGTGTAGCTCTTTGCCAGCTCTAGCAGGGGTCACAGAAAAAGTCAGCTTCATCTCCTTGACTGTGTTTATGACAAAGTGGTTCCTTTTTATTTGCAATTCCCTGCATTCCTCGTGGCTCATCTGAGCTGCAGGAGCAAAAGCAGAAGGGACAGCCCAGTGCCAGGCAGTGGGACAGATTCCTTGGAGCAGCCAGGAGGGCAGGGGGCTGGGATGGGCTCTGGTCTAACCTGCACAAAGTCTGGGCTAGCCCCAGCAGGGAATATCTGAATGACATCTTTTTTTGGAGGTGGTTGTTGTCAACTGGTGTCATTACTTCATTGGAATGGACAGAGGTTGAAGGGAAGGACTTCAAGCAGCTAGAACAGCTGAAATCCTAATTAGCAAAGGCAGATGTCCTCAGAATTAAAAACAGATGGGAAAAAAAGAAAAATGGAAAGGAAATCTCAACTGCCCTCCAGAGGGAGAACTTGTCCTCAAAAATGTAGTTTTTCATAAGATGACAACGAGTCTGAAAAATGAGGCATTTTTTATGATGGATGGATAGAAATATCAAGCAGTCATATTAAACATTTTTAATGACACTTCAGCCTGACCCATGCTGTACCTGATGCCTGCTGGCTGATTTTTCCCAGGAAGAAACCTTTCACCACTCAGTCCCACCATCCCTGGGACAAGCTAAGTCCTGATATCCACATTTCCTGCAAGCAGGAGATGCTGTTGTGTGTCTAATTTAGGTGAACTCAGCTGGCTGGCCTGGTCCTTCAGCTTTTCCCTTTCTTCTTTCTTTTAAAATGAACAGAGAATCTTCATTTGTTTCACATGGGAATTAAAATTCTGTTCTTGCAAAACACTGACATAAATAATGAGTGCTGAGGGGCTGTTCCTGTGCTTAAGTGCTCTGCTGGATTTAGGCCTAAACTTTCCAAATGAGGTGTTTTTAAGTACCCATGGAAATCTAGGGAAGTTAAAGGGTAAATAAACTAAGTGCAATACAAAAGGTTATTGCAGTAATGTGTGAGACCTGAATAGACTGGTGCTTTTATTTCTTAAAAACCTGTGGTTTTTGAAAGAGGCTGAAAAATATGTAGGATTTCTTGAATTTTATCAAGAGAGGGGTACTATGGAGGCATCAAATCTATGCTGCAAACACACTTAGGGAAGTGACTCCTCAAATAATACAAAATTGTCTTTGAAATCCTGTGGCATTGTTGTGGTTCTGGTTATTCTAGGCCTAATTATGAATGGAAGTTAAAATACCATGTTCAGATCTAATATTTGTGATCCAGATCTAATATTTGTGTCATGTCTGGGCATTTCCTTTGTCTCTTTAAAACATATTTATCTTGCAAAAGCTGAATAAAGGTTTCAGGGCTTAATGCTAAAAATGATATTTTCCTTGCCTGTAGGTTCTGGGTTGTTTCATTGCATCACCCCCAAAAGAATTTGAATTTACATAATCTTTATAAAGTGATTTAAATCATTTTAAGTGATTTAAAGTAATTGTAAAGCTTGTGTTAAAAGTGTGCAATGAAGGGATAACGCTTTGTAGCTTAGAGAAACTCCTGCTTCATCCTAAAAAAATAAAAATAGAAAATCAACAGGTGCAGTAAATTGGAATTTTCTGATGGAAAGTCAGCATAAGATTGGAGAAGCTTCCTGTAAAAAGAATGGGAAATATGGGCTCTTTCTAACTTTGAGTGTAGCCAACTTGGTAGTAATATAAAAATTACTCTTTCTAACCCACCTAAAGTTTCTAAAATCAGCTTTAAGCTTTAGAGACAAGGATTGTTCTTGCCCATGGAACAGCAGGTGTAGAGGTGCAGCAACATCAGCTGACACCAATTCTGTTCACAGAGAACATGAATTTAAAGTTTCAATTTTGCCTTCAGGGGAAAACATTGGCTCACATGATTTCTAGGGTCAGCTCTCCAGGGATGCAGTCCAGGGATGAAGACCTTGAAAGTGGGCATGCTGTTCAAAATCCCCTGGAGAGGGTTTTCCTGTGAGCTAAAACTCATTAAAATGAATGAAAAAATGCCACTGGGTGACAGGCGGTGGGTGGGATGCTGTTACACACATGTCCCCTTTCCCTGGGTTCCTGTAGCTGATTGGAATTGCCAAACCTGTTGTGTAAATAAATGTTCTTCCATTCCCTTCCACGTTTTGCCCTCACAGGTTGTACTCTGACTATCTGTACTTCGCCAGCGCCAACAAATCCGCGGAGGATTTCCACGAGAAGGTGGCGGAATCCCTGCAGCTCTTTGAGAGCTGCGTGCTGGATTTCTCCCTGCGAGCCTGTGTCTACAACAACACCCTCAACAACGCCATGCCCGTACGTATTTCCTGGCACTTTTGCCTCCTTGCTGCTTTCACAGAAACCTCTAAGATCAACGAGTCCAACCCAGCCCCAACTCCTCAACCCAACCCTGGCACCCAGTGCCACATCCAGGCTTTGTTAAACACACCCAGGGATGGGGACTCCACCACCTCCCTGGGCAGCCATTCCACAACTTTATCACTCTTTCTGTAAAAAACTTTTTCCTGATATCCATCCTGTATTTCCCTGAGGCTGTGTGCTCTGGTTCTGTCAGTTCCTGGAGAAAGGGCCCAACCCCACCTGCCCACAGCCACCTTCCAGGAGCTGTGGAGTGATAAGGTCACCTCTGAGTCTCCTTTTCTCCAGGCTGAGCACCCCCAGCTCCCTCAGGGGTTCCTCACAGGGTTTGTGTTCCCAGCCCCTCTCCAGCCTCGTTGCCTCCTCTGGATGCACTCGAGCATCCCAAGATCCTTCCCAAACTGAGGGGCAGAGCTGGGCACAGCACTCGAGGTGGGACCTCACCAGTGCCAAGGACAGGGGCAGAATGAGCTCCCTGCTCCTGCTGGCCACACCATTCCTGACCCAGCCAGGTGTCACTGGCCTTTGGCCACCAGGGCTCACTGCTGGCTTGTGTCCAGTTGGCTGGTGACCAGTAGCCCCAGGTCCCTTTCTGCCTGGGCACTGTCCAGCTGGACAACCTGCTGGAAAGGTTGTTAAGACACCAAAATCCTGTGCAAGGAAGCAGCGAGAAATCAAACCTTTCTCCCTCTTCGTTTGTAAAGTGGAGGGTATAAATATATATGTAGACATGTAAAAGATGGTGTGAGGGCCCAGCTGTCTCCTCAGCCTGTTCCCTGCTGAATGCCAACAGGGATAACACAGCTTTCCTATTGTGCAAGTGCATGGAGAGCATATTTAGTGAAGATTACAATTTAATGTGCAAGCAAAAAAAAAAGTAGTTCTGGCAAAGATCTTTGCAGTACCAAATTGCCTCAAAATCAGAATAAATTATATGTTCTTTTGTAAGAAAAGGCTACCAATAACTAGATAAAACTTTTTTTCTTTTATTTTTTTTTAATCGTGCATGCCAGAAAATTATACAAGAAAACACAGAAACTGCTGGCAGGGAAATGGATAAGTATTACAGGCTTACAATTCCAAAATTCACAATTTTAGCATAGAACTGACTTCAGATTTTGCTCGAGGGCAGAGAAGAGATGAACTTGGAGTATCTCATCTGGTCAGACTGCTGTTCAATCCTCTTTTATTTGCTCAGGCTGTAAAGGATTCAGAGGGAATAGTTCCCTCCTTTGCCTCTGGGCTGAAGTTGTTGGCTGTTCCACTGGACAAAGAGCAGTACAGAGTGCATTCCACGGGCTGGAGCCCTGCAGCAGCACAGCAAACAGGACACTGCTCTCACCTACCAGGTAGCCTGGAGCTGCTCATCCCTGAGTGCAGCCCCCAGCACTTCCTCACACACCAATTGCTGCTGGGCAGCATCACAGAATTTTCCAGCCATCTGCTTGCACAAATGTATCCCTTCCAGTGTGGCAGAGAAAGGCAGAGAGAGAACCAGAAGGAAAGGTTTTCCTCTTATGTTCATCCTCAGGGTGCAGAACCCATCTCCATTTGCTGTCTTCAGCAGCCCTCTTGAAGAAGATGCTTTTGGAAACGAGCAGAGGAGGCCTCTTTCCTTCCACAGAGCCACAAGCAGGTGCTTGCAATAAAACCCACATGCCAACTGTGCTCCTCAGTGGCCCTTTTTAGCTTCTCCTTCAGCCAAGTTGCTAAATCTGTTGTGTTCGTGGTTTGCTGAGCATTGAAGAAGTGAGGATTGCTGTCCCTGGTGAGCTCATTAGGTTGCTAATTCTGTGACTGTGCCAGGAAAAGAAGGGGTTTGCTATTTGTTAATGTGTTTCTGAAGCCAGAGAGGTGTCCTAGGCATCCTGGCTGCTGATGGATGCTGAGGGGGAAGAAAGGGGTGTTTGGCACCTGGAATCAGTGAAAAGAACATTACCCAGAGAAAGGCACAGTGACCAGGGTGATCCCAGCTGTGGCCTGCCAGCACCTGGAGGAGCTTACAAGGAAGATGGAGAAACTATTTATAAGAGCCTGGAGTAAGAAAAGAAACATTAAACCACAAGTTTGCCCCAGTGCTGAGCGCAGTGAGGCACTGACTGAGGGGCTGGGGTGCTGCCCTGCCAGAATTGTCCCATCTTAGCCTGGTGTCTTCATCAAATAAAAGGTTCCAGATTCTGGTGTAGCACATCTAAAAAGAAATCTGATAAATATGGAGACTTACGGTATAAGACACACATCAGAATGACACAGGATAATAATAATTCAGCAAGACTTCAAAATAAGGCTTTTTTGGGGGAATTTAGGTATTGTAGGTGATGGGGCAATGTCAGAAGTGAAAGGGGCTGTTGGCTGACTTCATGGGCTCTGTGGTAATGTGAGCTGAAGATGTTAAGTCTTTTTTATGAAAGATGCTTAAGACTTGGGATTCATGTTCCTCTCCTCTGAGCCTGAAGGGATTTAGAAAAATATTTATAAGCACAGTTGGAGCTGGACTTTTTAAGAACACCAAGGCTACTCTTTTTATGTTTCAACTTGTTATGTAAAATTGAGGAGGAAAGAAAAACAGATAAAGGCAGGAGAGGCTGAAAATCTGACTTTCCCCCACTCTGGTCTGACTCTCTGGGTACTCAGACAAGGCACCATGAATGCTGTTGCAGCTGAGATCTCAACCTAATCATTGCAATCAGAGGATGCAGCAAAATGCACCCAAATCTAACACCTGACAGCGAGGCAGAATATTTGTCCTGCTCATGGCAACGTGACCTGGTGCAGCTGAAAATCATGGAATCATTTAGGCTGGAAAAGACCTGTAAGGCCACTGAGTCCAAGTTTTAATGCAGCACTGCCAAGCCCACCCCTAAATTATTTCCCCAAGGTGAAATCAAACTGAAATAAGCAGCCTCAGGGTCTGGAGAAGGGGCAGGACTGAGCATCTTCCCTTGAATCACTTTTCATTCGGGGGCTGAGAGGCCTCAATGTCTCCAGGAAGGCTCCAAGCACAGAGATCTTGGGTGTGAAGTGGCTGAGCATCCTTCTACAGATATTTGTGTCTGTGCAACAATTTTACACACACCTGTGGCTGGTGCAGCAAGTGCAGCTTGGTAAAATGACATCTCTCACCAGCAGAAAAGCTGTTTGCAAAGATTTCTTTAAGCTGTTCAGAAAATGAGAGGAAGATGTAAAAATATGCACATGCTTTCTTTTTGTCGTTCCTTAAAAGCACATTTTGGGATTTTTTGGTTCTTTTTACAGGTAGAAGTGTTGTAAGGTGAACTAATTCTTTAAGCTGTTCAGAAAATGAGAGGAAGATGTAAAAATATGCACATGCTTTCTTTTTGTCGTTCCTTAAAAGCACATTTTGGGATTTTTTGGTTCTTTTTACAGGTAGAAGTGTTGTAAGGTGAACTAATTTGAGTTTGTTTTGTATTTACAGGTGAGGTTACAGGTAGGGCTCTATGTTGTGTATCTCCTGGACTGGCTGACAGTTTTTAACAAAGATCAGATCCTTGTTCTTCGCCTGGAGGACCATGCATCAAACATGAGGTACACCATGCACATGGTGTTCCAGTTCCTGGACCTGGGTAGGTGCTTGCTGGCTGGTTTAAGTGTGCAAAATCATTATTATCCTTCTTCTCTTAGGTTGGTTTTGCTTTATTAAGAGAAGCAAAGGAATTTGGCTTGAAGAATGGATTAATCTTATTGCCTGGAGTCAAGCAAAATTAAATTCTCAAATGCCTGGTGTTAGAAGATCTTAATAAGAGCAAGAAAGAAAAAAAAATCCACACCACTAAGAATGCAGGGATTTATCTTCCCATACAGAGGCCAATCCTGCTTCTGAAGGCACTCAGGGCTTGTTTGCCATGGGTTTATGGAGATGCAAAGTTATCCCCCACAATTTTAACAAACTGAAGTGCTACCAGCCCAGAACCTAAGTCTGAGCATGATGAAAGGTTGTGTTTGTAGCCGAGGAGAAGGGGGAAATTGTGTTTTTGCTGTGTTGATTGAGACATCTGTTGCTAATCCTTGGAAGAAACGCCGGCAGACAAAACGTTGCCCAATGTTGATTTGACAGTAGCAAGAGAATGAAAATGTGGCTGAAAAATCGTCTGTCTGGTCCAAGGATTTGGTCTAGATGATGAGAAAGCTTGGATGGAGCAGGCTGAACAGATGAAAAGCTTGGCATCTGCTTCCTGAACGTGGTTTGTGCTGGAAAACTCCCTAGCTTTTTATCTTGCTGAGGCACATTTATTCCCAAAGCGGGGTCTCACTACACCTGTGTCCACTTTGATCCCACTGCCAGCCTCCAGATAAACAAGCCAGGCCTTTCCTGAGTGCTGAGTGAAGCTTGTGGGGTTTCTGTTGGGTATTAGTCAACTCACACCATGAAATGAAATAGCAGCATAAAATACCTGCAGCTCCAGAATGGAGGGGAAGTTGTCTTCAGTCACTGGGCTTTTTTGAAAACAGGTATTTTCCCCCAAGAGTAATTTATGCTGCTTTTTATAGAGATGATTAATTAATGGGAGAAGAACATGCCCTATTTCCATATTTACCAGTAGTGATCCATTTTACTGATCTAAACCTGTATTCAACATTCTGAAACATTTTGGCTGCTAACAAAAACGACATTTTTCTCCACTTGGCAAACCTTCTGATTTAATCATTAGATATCTTTAGGATGGGCATTTTTGGGGGAAAATTTGAAGATGATATTCTCTTTTTCCACAGGACCTCTGAGTGAGAAACAAGAAGCTCTGATTACCAAGAGTCCTGCATCAAACACCCGAAGACCTGAAGACAGAAGCCTGGGCCCGATGCTGCCAACCACCAAGGCAATTTTAAGAGATTTCTATAGGCCTTTTAATACAAAACTGGCACAAGTTCTTTTTGATGATGCTTTTTTATGGAAGAGGACATAATATGTAAATTTCTTGCCACGACTACAGTGCTTAGAGGAGTTTTTATTTTTTTAAATTCTATTTTTGTGCGTGGATATTTTAAATTTTTTTTTTCCCATTCCAAAGAGCAGCCGATGGATGAGCTGAGAGTCTCACCTTCAGCCAGCACACATCTCAACAGCTCTACCACATTTTCCTTGGGAGAATGGAAAGCATCTTGCTTTAATCACTTTATTGCAACTTCTTTCACCCCAGCAAAGGAGTGGACAAGCATTAGGACAATGATGTCTTTCACTCTTCCACAGGGGTGTTGAAGTGTAACCTTCTGTGAGATGCTGCAACACAGAGTCAGCATCAGTTTCCTACAATTACACTTATAACCTCTCATTTTCAATATATGTTATTCACTCATTTTTTTTCAATCAATCAATGTCATTTAGTCATTAAAATTTTTAATTGAATTCAACCTAAATTCTGTTTCTTTTTGTCAGCCTGTTTAAAGATGGTCTTCACTAACTGTGTTTCCTTAATTCTGAAAATGAAGTGCATTCACATAAATTTCCAAGTCTCATTTATATCTTCAAGAGAAATGGGCTTTCCTAGCCACAGTTCTTGGAAAAGAAAATTTTATAATCCATGTGAGAATGGATGGCTGCAATGTAAACAGGCCAATTTGGTGTTTAGCATAACAAATTCATTGCCTTCCATATTTTGTTCACGTAAGTATGAATATGTATAATTTATTCATATCACTCACACATTTTTCCAGGAAATCTCTTTTATTTAAAAGTCTGTTCATGGCCATGAAGAGCTTTTATGGATATTTTTGCTAAATTCTGCAGGGTTACTCTTCTCCATTGTGAAGGAATACACATTTTAAAAGCCATATGAAATTTTGCCATTAAAATCATAAATGAGAAGGATTCTCAGTACCTTACAGAAAGGATGTGTTACCTGAGGAATTAGATTATGTGTTTCCCTCTTTAGGAAAAATGTCTGTATGTAGTTAAAGAATTTGAGATACACACACAAAACCCAACATTTTGGAAGTTACGGAGAAACTTGGGACTACCTGAAAGTTTTTATTTGACAGAAAAGATCAGTTTTTTCCTACAGATGTGCAGCAATTCAATCTTTAATTTCACACCTGGTTAGGTCACTGTCAGTTAAAGTCTGCAGCCTTCTGCAGGTGGAAGTCCCACCTAAGTAAGAGAATTTTTAGGAGACAAATATAAATGCTACCTGTTGGTCATTTCCTCTCATGGGCTAAACGATTTCCTCCTGAATGTGTGTTGAGTGGGTGAAAGGAAGCTCCTGTGCAGCTGACAGCTATCAAAACCCCAGAGAATCCTCCCAGATTTGCTTCATGTGTCCTTTCAACCACAACACAGTTTTACTGACGGATTCACAAGTACATTTACAAATATTACAGGTAATTTCTCCCTGTCCCCCTCCATGGGGATATATTATTCATTGCATGCGTTTCCAAACTGAGAATTAATGCTGAAAACTTGATGCATCCTGCACCTTTCACACAGAAATATGATTGCTGACATGTGAGATGTTTTGCAACAGAAGACTGTTCCTAGGTTCTTTGCCAACTGGTAATGTGCTGCTTAAAAAAGGATTCAATCTGGGGTTTGAAAAGCCTAAAATAAGTAATTAGTGAAGTATTCTAGACAACCAAAACGGATTAGTTCTAGTTCAGAAATGCTCACAGACCTAAAATGGTTGGAGAGCTGAGAGTGGACTACTTTAGCAGTACAAATAAAAAGTATCATGGGACTGTGAAACAGAAAACCAGAATGAATTTGCCACAATTTTCAGATGTAAAAAATTCAGTCAACAACTTATTAACACCAAAGCGTTCAGCCAGCTTTGATTTGGAATCAACACTCTGTGGTCAGGATAACTCTATACAGATGTTTCCTAACCTGGCCTGCCACAGTCAAATATTTCCATTTAGCTGTCAACTACAGCCTAATGGTCTAATGATATTATTTTACCAGCCCTAGAAGCTAATTAATACATCTGTCCTTTTCATTAACTTGAGCACTGAACAGCTCACACACTGTGGTTTGTGCCTGTGGTCCTTCTGAAAGTGAAGTTTTCATTGAGGCAGCTTTTATGTCGCCATCTCCTTCATGAACTCCAAAATATGATCTGATTTTAACACTTTGCAGCCTTATGCTGTTGGGTTGTGGCATGACTAAGAATCAAACAGCAGCAAATATTGGTCAAGAAGTCGTTTTGGAGGTAAGGATATCACTCTCTAGCTCAGGCTGTAAAAATAAAATTGATCTGGTGATGCAGAACAAAATAAACCAGCGTTTCCTCAAGCGATGTGGCAGTGCTGGGTGTTAGAGCCCCTCTTCTTCAGCCACAGCCAGCCAGGGACTGCACAGCAAATTTCTACACAGGACAAGGCTCACCCAAGTTCTTCCAGTTCCCTTTACCTTTCTGCTGACAATCCTAGCTGTGAAAAAATCCAATTTTATTGTTATTAGTCACTGCAGCGCCGAGGTAACCCACATCCCCAAAAGAGCAATTCTCCAAGAAGTTGGAATTAATATCAAGACAATATGTTTTCATTTTTGGTGTCTTGTGCCGAAGCACAGCAGTGGCTCCTTGCAGAGACCTCTTTGTCTCTTGCTGTGCTTTTGCTCTTATCTCTGCTGAACAAAACTAATCACACAAAGATGCAGCTTTCCTGAGTGCAGAGGCACTGAGGAAAGGCTTGTTTCCAAATGTTCTCGCTACTACTGCAGAGGAATGTGAAATGTGTTTTCTGTAAGACCTTGAGTGTTTGGGCCAAGCACCTTGGCTGTCTGGAAGAAGTACAATAAAAACAAAGGATCCCTGCAAAGGAAAACAGGCACTCCTTGACGTGGAAAAGGATGTGTTGTTATCTGTTGAGTCCAGGCCACAGGCCCTGGGCTTCAGCTTGGAAAACTGAGGAGAAATGGTGAACTTGTTGCAGTTCTGGATGTATCTTTCTGCCAAGAAACCATTTTCCAACTAGGCCAAACGTTCTTTTGTTCAAGATGAGGCACAACAGTGTCATAAAAACTCATTTCTGCTCCATCCCCCTCACACGGGTGAGGGGGACATTGGACAGGACCAGAGGACACAGTCTCAATTTGCATCAGGGCGGTTTAGGTTGGATTTTAGGACAAATTTCTTCACTGAAAGGGTTGTCAAGTATGGAACACGCTGTGCAGGGCAGTGTAGTCACCACCTCTAGAGGGATTTAAAAGACCTGTGGAGCTTGGGGACAAGGGTTAGTGGTGGCCTTGGCAGTGCTGGGGTCTCGGAGGTCTTTTCCAACCCTAACAATTCCACGAGCAGCTTGTTTCCAACAGGAATTCTTGTCTTGCAATACCATCTTGTGGCCAACCCCAGCACTGCTTTGTGCCATGAGCACGGGTTTTTCCTACTCTGGAAAAAGAAGAGGCAGGTGCAAAAGGAAAAAAAAAAAATTTCTACTTCTTTTCAGAGGCTCACAGGAATACAATTTCCAGTGGAGCTCAGGAGCTGGTGAGCGTGTGGGGAAGTGCTGGCTTGGCACAGCCTCAGCATCGTGGAACCACAGAATTGTTTAGGTTGGGAAAGACCTCTAAGATCAAGACCCCAGCACTGCCAAGGCCACCACCTTGTGTCCCCAAGGGCCACATCCACATGGCTTTTAAATCCCTCCAGGGATGGGAACTCCACCACTCCCCAGCCCTTTCCATGTAGAATTTTCCTCTAAAATCCAATTTAACCTTGCCTGTTGCAAACTGAGGTCTTTCCTTGTCCTGTCCCTTGGGAGAAGAGACTGACCCCAACTCATGCAGGATGTCACCAGCAGCTGATGCTGGGAGCTGCTCAGCCCTGCTGGGCTCATCCCTGTCCTGCTGGGGACAGATGCTCTTGAGGCACAGTGAAAACTCTGCACTGCCTCAATCAATAGAAAGACCCTCAAAATGACTGCCAGCATGGCAGGGACCTAATGGGCCACCAGGCTGGAAGCTGCCATTAAAATTAGAGGCCTGCTGTGTATGTTTTAAGGCACAATTAGCAGAAAATAAGGTCTGAAAGAGACACAAATAGTAATCACTGCATCACAGCTCAGAGGAAAGTCACTTTCCCTCACCCTCATCATTTCTGAATTTCCCTTTGCTGGGTGGAAAACTTTCCCTTCCAGCAGGAGTTGGTGTGATGGTGCCCTGGGCTGGCAGGGGTGTGGGAGATCTATTGAAAAAAATACTAAAAATCCAACTAAAGTAATTTAAAATTGCAGTTTAGTCTCTGAAGGAGCAGCTGCTCTGTGACACTGAACAGCAGAGCAGCTGCACAGGACACCTTCCTTGAGGGAAATGGGGCAGATTTCCAGTTCTTTCCACAGTCTGGGAATGCCTCACACACTTGGAAAATTATTTCTTCCTCTATTAATGAACAGGAATGAGGAAAGGGAAAGGCTCTGCTGCTACTCAGAACACTGCAGTAGATAGACAGCCTCAGAGCAGCTCTCAAAACTTCATTTAATTTAAGCTACAGAGGCCTAAGCCATAGATGACTTGCAAATCGCTTAGAATTTAGCTTTTAAAGAAGCTAAAACCAGTACATCCTGATTATGGAACACATTGGGTGTCTCAGAGACCAAAGATCTGGGGCTACTGCTGCACTGTCGGGGTGGTTAATTGGGACAGCACACATTATTTCCTCCTCTACATTGTTGAAACCAGAGATAGAAAGCAATGGGAACTTCTGTCCATCAATACAAGCTGGGCACTGCTACAGGGCAAGGAGTCAAAGGCTGTGGTAAAACAGCTACAGAAAGGAATGGAAAATTGGGGAAAAAAATAAGAAAGAAGTCCTGCAGCTATGTCTAGTGAAGTCCTGGAATGCTGAAAACAAGTTTGATGACACAAAATTGCATGGAAAAAAAAAAAAGTAAAGCCAAGCGAGGCAGCCAGAAAAAAAACCCCAGAAGAAATAAGGCAGAGAAATAAGCAGAAAGGGATGTGTAGCTGTAAAATGAAAAGGTAGAATTTTTCTCCATCATCTGAAAAGGCTTAGAAAAGGAAAATAATCATATCACCTGGGAAAGTGTGTTGGCTTGACTGGAAAGGCATCAGCTGAGCCCATTGCAGACTTTGCTTTTGTTGTTTATTGCACTGAGAGGTTTAAATTCAGCATCAGGGATGGGATCCATAGAAATGTGGGTTCCTCACTTCCTCTGCCTGGCTTGTACAAGACTCAAATGCTCCATATTTAAGCTTGGGAAGTAGCAAACACTGATAGGGAATAGAACAATTATTGAGGGGAAGGTCAGAAAAAAGAACAACAGGTGCTTGACTGGATTAAGAGTCTGAACGAGAAGCTAAAAGCTGCATTTCTGGCTAAAAAGAGGAAAGCACTGGCATTAGAGATGTCTCAGGTATCATCTGTGTCTGAGAGCAGGCTTTAGATGAGAGGACCCATAAAAGA